TTTCTTTTCCCTATGAGTTCTTCTGTTTAATATTTTAGGGTTATTTTGGTCTATCAATATTGTATTCGTACTTTTATAACAATATAAGCTCTCCTTTTTTTAAATGGATTTGGACAATATAATACATTCTCAAATTGAATTAGTAATTAGACTACATAATACGTTTTCAAATTAAATTAGTAGTAGAATATTTGTAAGAAGTATATCCTAAAAGCGATAGGATTACATGGCTAAAAGTATTAGGATTATGCTAATAGGATTCCTAAAGGTGATCATGTCGAATTCATAACGTGTATTATGTCCTAAAACTAACAGGATTACAAGGCTAATGTCTAGAATTCTGGTTATGTCCTTTTATTGTGAGCTATTATGCTTAATATTAAAAGGTTATTTTTGTAAACTAACATTATATTCATGCTTTTATAATAAATATATAGACCAGTTTCTGAACACGTGCGTTGCATGTATATCTCCTATTAATCGGTACAAACTTTATAAAATGGAAGATCACCGAAAACTATCCAAACAATTTGTTAAAAAAAACTGCAAATTGGAGATGTACGTAGTTGCCGAAGTGTAATATCAAGTGTCAACTATAAAAAGACTAATCCAAGTAGCTTATTAACTATTTGTAAAGTAAATATATAACCTTCATAGTGTACTATTAAACATCAAGATGTATATATGATATAAAATTAAAAGAAATATTATTATCAACACGTGCGACCCATCACAAAGACATGCATGCAATTCATCAACTTATTACATAATTACCAAACCATATGAAATACAACTCTTAGCTGCAGAAGAATTCCAAGAAAGAAGCTAAGATATGCGCTCACAAGAAAACATTCTCAATCTTTTCAATGGTAGAATCAACAACTGCACCACTACTCTTCATTAGTTTTATATGAGCATGAGAACTGGTATAGAAAAGAATAGGCCCCTTCAGTGCCAGGGGCATGTGGAAGATGATATTCGTCCCAGTTGTTCCCCGTCATCTATGTATACATAAATCGACACTTTACCTTAGTCAACACATAACTATTGAAGAATCAATCAAAAGAAGAAAAAAACACTGATAAATCAGTTAAATTGCATCATGAAACTCAATGAATAGAGGAAGATTGTCTATCCAAAGTCACCTTCTTGAGGTGAAGCAACAAACTAGAGTGATCATTTTTGCCAAGCCCAATTGTCACAACCCAAAATTCACTAAGGGTCGTGATGGCACCGGATACTACCGTCAGGCAAGCCAACCAAATTACTTAATTAAATTTTCGTTTGAATACTTTTGAAATCTATGATTTTCCTCCAAATTTACAAATAAAAAGATAATCGCTTCAATTCAAATTAAATGATAAGCAATTAATACAAAATACTTCATAACCATCCCAGAACCCGGTGTCACAAGTGCATGAGCAATTTCTATGAATTTGAATAAAGTACAACAGTTGTCCGGAATACATTTGGACAGAAAGTAAATAAAATTCTGAGAGAGAGACTATACTAGCTGCGGGTCGCCTCGAGGAAATAAAGCTCACCTAGTCTCCGGGTCGCCCGTGCTGCTACGCCCAATGAGCCAATAGAAATACCTGTACATGTGCAACAAAATGCACAGCAAGTGTAGCATGAGTACGTAAATAACGTGTACTCAGTAAGTATCCCGCCTAATCTCGAAGAAGTAGAGACGAGATGGCAACTTTGACACTTACTAATGGTCAAATAATAATATTATTAAAGAGATGACTCACGAATTTATTAAGGACAGCAGTAGATTCAAATGAATTACTAAACATGTAAAAGTTCCTTTTTATTAGAAGTCTCCGGATTCATAATCTATAAATTAACAATTATCTCAAGCTGGGGAGAGCAGATGGCAATATCAATAAATCTCAAGACAAGCAATCCAAACATGCGCAACTCCTGCCGAGGTCGAACGGCCCGGTCCAACATAAATGTAAAATGTGCACTGCCGAAGGTCGAGCGGCCTGAACCATAAATGCATCTGTTACCCCGCTCGTGAATCATAGGTGCGACGCGGTCAAATATAAATAAACACAACAATCAGTCAATCATGAATTTATCAGGGAACAATTATCCAAGGAAAAGCCAATTCTCTTTTAACAATTCAAGAAAATGAAGTTTAATCTTTTTAGAAATTCATTTACCAATTCGATAGGGTATAAGAAATTCAATTGTCAATAAGGTTACAGATATTCCAAGTATAGCATGCTTTTGGGTCCTAGACTACCCAAACTTACACATATTAGTACCCCACAAATAGGAGCACATAACCGTTTATTTCACCTATGGGGACAATTCCCTCTTACAAGGTTAGAAAGGAGACTCACCTCGCCCCGAAGATCCATAACCGACATTCCACGCCCTTCCGAAGACTTGAATCGATGCTAAATGCTCCAAAACTAGCCAATGATTATGCAATTCCATTAATATACGATAAACTACTCATATTAATTCAATTTATAACAATTCCTAACTCCGATCGAAAAGTTGACAAAAACGCCCTAGGGCCCACGTGCCCGGATTCCAAAATTTTTTGAAGATTAAGCTTACCCATAACTCCACGAACTCAAATATATAATTTACTCTCAATTTCATACCCAAAATCGTGATCAAATTCCATGAATATCAATTTCTAGGTTTTCCCTCAAACCCCAAGTTTTCACTAATTTCTATGATAAAATCCATACATAATCAATATATTTAACTCAAGATATGTGGGATTAGCTTACCTTGTCGTTGATGATGAAAAATCCCACTTGAAGCTCTCCAAAATCGTCCACATCCAATGAAAAATGGGGAAAAATGACCAAACCCCCAATTTTTAAAAGAGTCATTCTGTTTCCAGCACTTTCGCACCTGCGGTCACTTGACCGCTTCTGCGGTTTCGCAGGTGTGAGACCAAATGTCGCTTCTGCGGTCCGGGGCTCCCCAGCCCATTCCGCTTTTGCGCCCTTTCTACCGCAGATGCGATCCCGCATCTACGGCAAAACGACCGCATCTGCGGTCCCAGCTCTCTTCCACCAATACCGCATCTGCGACCATAGGGCCGCTCCTGCGGCTCCGCACCTGCGGCCCTAGTCTCGCAGGTGCGGTTACACTAGCAACCAACAGCTTCAGCTCTTCTTTAAACTCCAAATTCGATCCGTTAACCACCCGGAATCCATCCGAGGCCCCCGGGACCCCAACCAATCATACCAACCAGTCCCAAAACACATTACGGACTTGCTCGAGGCCTCAAATCATATCAAACAATGCTAAAACCACGAATCGACCTCCAATCCAAGCCTTATGAACTTTAGAATTTCAAACTTCTACCTCCGATGTTTAAACCTATCAAATCACGTCCGATTGACTTCAAATTTTGCACACAAGTCATATTCGACATTACGTACCTACTCCAACTTTCGGAATCGGATTCCGACCCCGATATTAAAAAGTCCACTTTCGGTCAAACTTCTCCAAAACCTTCAAATTTCTATATTTAGCCAAATGGCTCCAAAATGCTCCACGGACATTCGAATTCACTTCCGATCGCGCTCCCAACTCCAGAATCATCATACGGAGCTACTCCAGAGTCGGAATCCCAAACGGACATCGATAACGCTGAAATGCACTTCAACCCAAACTTATGAAATTTCTTCCAAAATGCTAACTTCCACAATAGGCGCCAAAACGCTCCCGGGTCATCCAAAACCCGATCCGGGCATACGCACAAGTCCGAAATCATCATACGAACCTACTAGAACCTTCAGATCCCGATTCTGAGGTCGTTTACTCTGAAATCCAGTCCTAGTCAATTCTCTCAACTTAAAGCTTCCGAAATGAGAGTTTCCTCTCCAAGTCAACTCCGAACTTCCCGAAATTTAATTCTGACCACGCGTACAAGTCATAATGCCTGAATTGAAGCTGCTTATGGCCTCGAATTGCTGAACGGCGCGCTAGGACTCAAAACGACTGATCGGGTCGTTACACCAATTGTGGAGTTTGATGCTTCCACTGCCTAGGTATTCTCATGTGGGTCTTTTAATATTGGTTACTCTTAAAACTCAAAATAAATGTCTCGTAAATAATGAAGAGAAACTGAAAAGCCTATAACTTAGGCAGAATACATAGTTTGCCCCCTGACCTTGAGGTCAAATCCCTATGACACACTCCTTTAATACGGGTAACTTTTTGCATAAGCAACCTTTCAAAAGTGTGTCAAAAACACACCACTTTTGCTCACCTGGCATTGCGTGATTTACACCCAATAGAAGCGAGTGAGTATTAATTTTTTGTGTATGGGACTATAAATTGACGCCACGCGTTCAGTTCTTTTCATTTTCTTGTTTTTTTTTTATCTATCTTCTTTTTTCATCAATTTTTTAAATCAATCTTAAATTTATTTTTTTTTAAAGTTTTTGGGCCTCCATCTTCATCTTCACTTCATCGCTGCTTCGCCGCCATCCTCCATTATCACCGCCCAACATCACCTACCTCAATCTTGTGCTACACAATAAATCTTTTCCATTTCCGTCGATTCTAAATTAAAACCCATAAACCACAAACGAAAAAAGCTACTATTTTGCCACTAATTCAATGAAACCCATTTCAAATTCTTCATCACAATCCTCAATGTTCTAATTTTCAAGCACTATCAATGTTGGAAATTAAAATTCAAAACCACAACTTTGAATGTTAAGGTATTAAGGAGTTAAATGAAGAAACTTCAAATGATGAGCAGGTGATTGAAATTGGAATTTTCCAACTCCAAATTAAATTAGTTTTTTTTTTTTATTGAGAAAACTGATTTGGAAAGTTTAGAGAAAGAAAGTACCTACAAAAAATATTACTCATTGTTGGTTAATCAATTCCACAAAATCTAGTTTTTAATTGGTAAAGCTGATAGCCATTTTGAGAGATGGATTTTGGCTAAAATGGTGCCTTGGGTAGATTAAGAAGGATGAAGTTTTTCTATTTTTTTTCTCAAGAAGATGGAAATTTTTAAATGTAATTTTTTTAAGTTAATGACATGTGTCACGATATTAATGGTGTGTGACATACACTTGCTGGGAACAAAGTGGTCAAGCACCGAACAGGTGTGTCTTAGAGACACTTTGAAAAGGTTAAGTGTGTAAAAGGTTGTCCGTGTTGAAAACGTGTGTAAGAAGAATTTGACCTCAAGGTCAAGGGGTAAATGATGTATTTTGCCTATAACTTACTTGGATGAAATAAACAAAAGAATATTAAAAGTCATTCTCTCATCCATGCCTAGGTATCATATCAAACCGTTTTTTAACTCACGAAACTGGCAGGAATTTAAGTTAATCCTAATATGATACATTTAATTTCTAGTGTTTAGTTCAAGGAAGTCAGTTACATTGAAATAATGCATGCATAGATATATAAAATTTATGTAGAAATTGAATTTATTATAGGAATATATAGTGTTTGACTAAGGGTAAAATAGACACTCAATTTTTGAAGGACATTTCAGTAAATTAACTTCACCTAAAGTGTTCATGCTTATAATAATATAGTATGATGATGATATAGATAAATATAGATATGTTGAATCCCTTTAGCATCTTTGTGTATTTACTATTTTATATTTTGACACATGAAATTTATGGTTCCGCCACTACCTATATATATTAAATTCCCGATCCGCCTCTTATAGGTAAGGAAGAAGAAGAAAGAGGTAGAGCTCACAAAGCAATAAGAAGATTTTTTGAATTGATGGGAGTATCAGCTGTGGCTGACTTTTTACCATATTTAAGATGGCTGGATATAGGAGGCCATGAGAAAGCCATGAAAGAGACTGCTAATGAAATGAACTGTCTTGTTGAAGAATGGTTAGCAGAGCACAGAAGACAGAGGGAATTAAGAGGAACAAAATATGGTGATGAAGAAGATTTAATGGATGTTATGTTGTCCATTTGTGAAGACAGAGATCTTCCTGGTTTTGATGCTGATACTATTATTAAAGCTACATGCTTGGTACGTCTACTTTAATTCGCTCCAAATTTGTTCGGTTTCCCTACTTAAAAAATCACAATAATATTTGCTTATAAAAATGTAACATTAGATTGGTATACTTCTAATGAAATAAGAAGATAATTCAAGACAATTCTTATAAAACTTGTTTACAATGTCAGGGTATATAACTTAGATCGTTTTTGGGTGGTAGGCTCTGCAATCAGCAGGAACAGACACCACGATCGTAACGCTGACATGGACTTTATCTTTGCTCCTAAACAACTACCAAACACTGAAAAAGCCCAAGATGAATTAGATGTTCGTGTTGGGAAGCACAGATGGGTCCAAGAGTCAGATATCAAGAACATGGTTTATCTTCAAGCTATTGTTAAAGAAGCATTACGTTTATGTCCAGCTGCACCACGTTTGCTACCCCACGAGTCTATAGAAGATTGTGTTATTAGTGGCTACGATATACCAAAAGGCACTCGCTTACTAGTGAACATAGGGAAGATTCACTGCGATCCAGATTTATGGCCAAATCCTGACGAGTTTAAGCCAGAGAGGTTTTTGACGACACATAAGGATGTCGATGTGAGAGGAAATCACTTTGAGTTGATTCCATTTGGTAGCGGAAGAAGAATGTGCCCCGGAATTTCTATGGGTCTTCAGGTTGTGCAATATGTATTAGCTGTGCTGCTACAAGGGTTTGAAATGAAGAGGCCTTCGGATGAACCAATTGATATGATTGAGAGCTTTGGATTGACAATCCTTAAAGCTTCTCCTCTCCAAGTTCTCCTTACTCTTCGCTTGGCCTCTAGTCTTTACGAATGAACCAATTGATAAAGTGTTTGGCATTCTCGGAATGTAGATATATATCTATGTCTTCCTCCCATATTTTGTTTTTTAAAATACATAGATGGACACTTAAAGTTGCCACGAACAATTAGATAAATACCTTAACTTAATCTCTCGTTGACACAAGTGTATCTCGTGGACAAGCTTTAAAAAAAATACAGTTATTGTCATTTTCTAGCACATGTATTGTCATGATCGGTGATTCAAGCCATTTTTAAAAATAAACATCAAACATATATACTATTTTTATCATCCGTAGCTATATTTGAATATTATAGCGAATCCGTGAAATAAGAGATTAATTATTTTGAACTTAAACATGATAGCAACAAGCCCTCATGGCTCAGTGGGTTTAAGCGCTCGGTTAGTTATCGGAAGTCTTGAGTTTGACTCTTGACAAGAGCATTTTATTTTTCTATATAACATATTGTATCCTTTGTATTTAGGTTGTATTTGCAGCTACGCATGGTAATTTACTAGGCTTTAAAATATAGTGCTTTATGAAAATTGCCAAGTCCATAGTAATATAGAATGGAATAATGATATCTTATAATTGGATTTATTTTGGGTGGGGCGGTAGTGAATAATGAAGAAAACATTGATTGAACATGAGAGAACTTTATATAACATTGAAAATTTTGCACTTAAATAATAATGTACTACATTTTTGGACTTATAGTTAATAATAATTATGGCTTCATATTTCATACAAATTTGGGGACAGCCTTGGAGCAACAAAGAACCTCAAGGGTAGCTTTAAGGTTAGACGTAACAAAGCTCTCAATCATGTCAATTGGTTCATCAGTTGGTCTTCTGATTTCAAAGGCATGTAACACATTAGCCAAAATCAAGTGCAACATCACAAGTGTTGCGGAAATGCCAGGGCACATTCTTCTTCCGCCACCAAATGGAATCAACTCAAAGTGATTTCCTCTAACATCGATATCCTTATGTGTCGTCAAGAACCTCTCTGGCTTGAATATATCGTGTTCCAGCCAAACGGACGAGTCCCGTTGAATCCTCCACAGATTGAAAAATAGTCGAGTACCTTTTGAAATATTGTAGCCACCAATAATGCAGTTTTCTATAGATTCATGTGGTGGAGATAATGGTCCAGGTGGATATAAACGTAACGACTCTTTAACTGTGGCTTGAAGATAGACCAAGTTCTTTACATGTGACTCGCCAACTAGTATATTTCTTCCAACATAAATGTCTAGTTCTACTTTGGCCTTTTCCATTGCATGAGGATTGTTAAGTAATAAAGAGAGCATCCAAGTTAGTGTTACAACTGTGTTTTCAGTCCCTCCTGCTAACATAGCCTTCCAATATAGGGAAAAAGAAAAAAAAATAGCTAGCCGCTGTAGTTAAAATCATGCAAATTACTCATGGAGGATGATAGAGTATTTGTAATATGAAATAATGCAAATTACTACTCCATCCGTTCCAATTTACGTGAACATATTTTCTTTTTGGCCCGTTAAAAAAAAAAATGACCCATTTCTAAATTTGAAAATAATTTAGCTTAAACTTACAATTCTTCCTTAATGAGAAGCTTTTATAACCACACAAATACTCTCGGCCCCTTTTTGACTTGTTTAGGACCACAAATTCTAAAAATCTTCATTTTTTCTTAAACTTCTTGCCCAGTCAAACAGGTTCAGATAAATTGGAATGGATGGAGTAGTTGTTAAGGTACATTATGATCATCCAAACTAAAAGCATGTAATATAACAACGTCCCCCCCCCCCCCCCCCAACCCAATCACGCGACACTCACACACATATATATATATAGTTATTGTATAATAAGTCAGCATAAAAATATGACTCAAAATCTTAATGTGCAAATGTTAAATCCGGAAGCAAACGTATACAGACTTGCTAAGCACGCAAAGAGTGCCTTTAATTGAAACAAATTAAAAAGGAGTTTAAGTTATATGCATCATTAGTGTAAGCAATTTTAATTAGGAATGGTAATAGGCCGGGGCGAGGCCGGGTAGGGTAAGCCTTGGCCTGCTAACATTTTGACCCACCCTACCACGTCCCATTTAGTATTTTCTCAGATTTTTGCCTTGCTAAGTCCTGCCCCGCCCTGCTAAGCCCTGCCCCATTTATGTTTTTTCATCTCTTTTATTTATTTTTTCTTTTGCAGCATTCTAAATTAAACTCACTAGGATTCAGTACTCAGAGTTTCTCTAATCAAATAGATAGGCCTACGTTTTAATGTCAGTTGAAAATTCCATGATGTTATTATGTCCCCAGATTGAACCATATCTTTATAAACGATACCATAGATCTAGTGCTTGGGAATTCTTAATCTCATACATATTTTTTATTATGTTTCCTCAGTTGATCTCGAAAGTGGTCATTCGCCTCTCGCTCGAATCTTCACAAAAGATGGAAAAAAGGAAAAAAAAAGTATTTTCTTATAGTCAGTTGAAAATTCTAAGATATACAAGTCCAGGTTGTTTATATGATTTAACTTATCGCGCTAGACGAATTAGTGTTGAATAGTGAGGTCAAATTTTCTTCGTCAAAACTAGTACAATTGTTTTTTCAACTCTAAGAAATCTGGTTGTATTCATAGGTATTTTTGTTGGTAGAAACAAAGTGGTCCATTTTAACCGTGTCCATTTTAACATGCATTAAGATTTGCCCTGCCTTGCCCTAAACCATTAATTTTTAAAAAAAAACTTAGCCCTACACCGCTTTGCCCGCCCCATTTAAGTGTTTCCCTGCCCTGTCCCATTTAGAGTTTGTACTTAGCCCTGCACCGCTTTGCCCGGCCCATTTAAGTCTTTCCCTGTCCTGCCCCATTTAGAGTTTGTCATGCCCCGCCTCGCTCCCATTGCCATCCCTAATTTTAACACTTTTATGTATATTTACATGTTATAATCGGTAACTTGTCTTATTTTTAAGATTATAAATCTCACATTTTAAATAGGCTTACTTGTGGTGACCTTGATTGGTGTATATTTTTAAATTCAAAACGAAAAATTATTTAATAATAAAGACAATATAACTTGCACACATATATAGAAGGACGAAAAAAGTACTTTCAAATAGACTTACCAAGCATGTAGATTTGATAATTGTATCAGCATCAAAACCAGGAAGATCTTCATCTTTAGCACCTTCAAAAAGGTCCAACATTATATCCATAAAGTCTTTTTCATCCTCACATAATTTCCATTCTCCACAACTTCTCTTTTTCTTGTGCTCTAATAGCCAGCTTTCAAGAATAGAGTCTGTTTCCTTAGCATTTTCCTTCATCTCCTTTTCATATCCTCCTATATCGAACCATCTTAACCATGGAATAAAATCAGCAGCAACAAATGTACTAAGTAACTTAAAAAAAGTTCTAATTGCTTTTCTAACTCTCTTTCCTTCTTCTACCTCATGATCTTCAGTATATCTCTTTCCAAAAAGCATTCTTACAATAATGGTCATGATCAAGTTCTCGAACCACTGTTTCATTTCTATTTTGATAATATTTGAACCATTAGTCTTTTCCTTCATCCACCTTTTATACGTTTGTTTGATTAATGTTGTCACTTCAAATTCTCGAATGTGTCAATGCATTTGTACACGATTATTAGAGAGTAAATCGAGTACCACTATCTTTTTCATTTCTCGCCAATATGGACCATAAGGGCCCGGCCCAAATATAGCGTAATTGTAGCCCAGAAGTTCTACTGCCAGCACTTTAGGTCGGCCCGCCAAGGCCTTGTCGTTAGTAGTTAAGCAATCTTTTTTCTGCCATAGCCCAAAAACTTTGTGAGGTAGTTGAGAGCCACTGAAAAGGTGGAGATGTCCAATAAGAGGCCATGCACCAGCAACTTCAGGGGGTCTTCTGCTGTTTATATTGCCTTTTTTGTTACTGATTTTTAAAAGCATGTAAATAAAGTAGAGAAAAATAAATGTACAGGCACAAGTAATGGAAAGAGAGAAATCCATTGAATTGGACATGAGATGAAGATGTAATGTTTTTGCAAAGCTTAACCCGATAAAGAGAAAGAGAGCATAGAGAAGAAAGGAGAGGTATAGGAGAAAAGGAAGAGGATAAGGATTAATTTCATTCAGCATATCCAAAATGGAGAGCATTACAATGCTAAATAGCTGATTCATAACAGCCTCTACTACGAAATGACAAATGACAATTGGAAATGACTAACTAAACTTCCTTGGACTTAATTGAAAAGAAATGGAGTAGAATTATTAGGGACTCTAAATAAGCATAATAAAACAATTTTACAAAGACAATCTACGGGAACAAACAAAGAAGAAATATTTAGAAAATAAAAAGCATGAGAAAGAAAGAAAAAGTAAGAAGAACGATGCTCCTAGACGCATAATTTTATTTTATGTACATACCATTTTTGTGACGATCCAAAGGGTCGTCACTTGTTTTCTTATTCATTCTGTGCTTCCAAGGTCTTGAAAACCTCATTTAGGGTTGCCACGATTTGCGTGCGCAGTCCGGGCGCGTAGCCGGAAAGCTTAAGTATGAATTCTGTGAGAAAAATGCTAAATTTTGGTATTAAAAAGAATAAATTTGACTTCGGTCAATATTTTGGGCAAACGGACCCGGACCCATGATTTGACGGTCCCGGAGGGTCCGTAGAAAAATATGGGACTTGGGCGTATGCCCGGAATCGAATTCCGAGGTCCCAAGCCCGAGAAATGAATTTTTGTGTGAAATTGTTTTCTGGAAATAATTAAGGAAATTGGAATTGAAATTTGATTAGAACGTGATGGTATCGGGCCCGTATTTTGGTTCCGGCGCCCGGTACAGGTCTTATATATGGTTTAAGCACTTTNTTAAGCGCTTTTTGTAAAGTTTGGTTGAAAACGGACATCGTTTGACGTGTTTCGGACATGAAATGGAAAATTTGATGTTTTGTGAAACTTGGAAGAAATCATGGATTTTGAGGCTTAACTCGATGTATATGATGTTATGATAGCAATTTGATCGCACGAATAAGTCCGTAGGATGTTTTTGAGGTTGTGTGTATGTTTGGTTTGGAGCCCCGAGGGCTCGGATGAGTTTTGGATAGGCCACGGGTGCATTTTTTCGAACTTTGGAATTTCTGGTATTTTTCTGAGCAGCAGACTTCGCATTTGCGAAGAGGGTCTCGCAAATGCGAGCCCAGCATCGCAAATGCAAGACTAGGGACTTGGCTGCCTGATCGCAAATGCGATCTATTTGTTCGCAAATGCGAAAAATGGGCAGGTCGCAAATGCGACATAAATGATCGCAAATGCGAATCCTGGGATTTTGAAAGGGTTCGCAAATGCGAACAATTTTCTCGCAATTCCCATAACAGGTCGGGGTTCGCAATTGCTAACCCCAGTTCGCAAATCCCATATCTGCAACCTGCATATTTTTATACTTAGTTGAATTTTGAACCATTTTTCACCCCATTTTCAAAACACAACTCCTTAGGCGATTTTCTAAGAACAAGACTTCTTCCAAATCATTTGCAAGTTAATTTTTACTCATTTCCTCCAATCAATAACATCATTTAACATGTTTTCAACTTAAAATCAAGGATTTTCATGGGTGAAATTGGGGGTTTTGGGTAGAACCTAGGTTTTCTAAAAATTGGGGATTTGGACCTCAATTTGAGGTCCGATTTCAAAACAATTTACATATTTGAGTTTGTGGGGGAAATGGGTAACCGGGTTTTGGTTCGAACCTCGGGTTCTGACCACGTGGGCCCGGGGACGATTTTGGAATTTTGGGCAAAACTTTGGGAAATTCATTTTTATGCATTCAAATTGATTCATTTAGTGTTTATTAATGTAGTTAAATAATTTGTGATTAGATACGAGCGAATTGGTGGCGGAACCGAGGGGTAAAGCCATAATTGAGACTTGAGTTGAATTCAAAGAATCGAGGTAAGTGTTTGGTCTAACCCTAGCTTGAGGGAATAGGAGTTGAGTCTTATTTGCTACTTGCTAATTGTCGGGTACGATATATAGGCATGGTGATGAGTATCTATACATTGGTGTCTAGCATGACCGTGAATCCTTATTTTGCGAACAGTTTGGATTTTGTTATACCTTCCATGCTTAATTGATGACTTCTATATGTTGTAAAGAGCTTGTGAAAGGAATTGTGATCTTTAAACTTCATGGAGCGTTGGATCGGGTTGAAATACAAATTGTGAAGGTGTATAAGGTAAGTAAATCTTTGGTGCATTGGCTCGAGTGATAATGTGAACTATGTGATGAAAGTGAAAGAAAGAGAAAGAGCTGTTGATCTATTCCCTTGCCGGGACGTTGTTGATTATTGAATATTTTCCCTTGCCGGGACGTTGAGACTATTGATGTTGTACCCTTGCCGGGATTTAACTGTTTTATTGTGCTCCCTTGCCGGGATTTCTATTATTATTTATTTTATTCCCTTGCCCTTGTTTGTGATTGTTGTTTGGGTGAGGAAGAGAGTAAAAGCACGAAGGGTGATGCCGTGCACTTATTGCTGTTTGCTATGATTTCTTGTTGTTATTAGTTCAAGTGCATTACTTGTCTTATTACATTATTTCTGTGATTCTTTACGTTGACATTTCCCTTTATCGTGTCACTTGTTATTATTGAACCAAGGTGTTCTTGCGCAACGTTATGTCTTGAATTTAATCCTTAATTGCTTCATGATTATGTGACTTAATTTCTACGTGACATTCAACATATTAATTACTAAATTGCCTAATTGCCCCCTTATAATCCATAATTAAATTGGTATTTGTCATTATTTGTTTTGCTTAGTGAATCATAATTTTGTGTACTTGCTGTCTTATGAACTCGTATTAGTGGTTGTCGTTTAGTTAGTAAGTTTAAAT